AAAAGGCAGATTCCAATGAGACTGTTTTTCTTCCACACCAGCTGTATGTGGACACAGTAAGCTTGTATGAGCTGTGAGAACAGCACGTTTTAAACAGGGTGTGCACGAGGAGAAATGGGCTCATGCACGCTCTTACACGTGCATTTTCTTTTACAGTGGAGAGGGCGGGTCTCCTGTTAACGTTAAAGGTATTCTCCACAACACCTTTAACATTGTTAATCCAGCTGCCAGGTGTTGATTGTAACTGGGACAAACCTGTAGAACGAAAGAAATTCCCCACACTGAAACCTAGAAGCTTTGATAATCCAGACACTGATGGTTTTCTACGTCTGCATGATGGGAGGCTTTGTAAAGCCTGCAGTCTGTGTTATACACGCCGCCCTAGAGTCAGTCAGAGTATTAGATACAGGAGGATTCCCTGAGCGTACGCACTTCAAGGCAAACCTCGTTCAGTATTGGAACCAAAAACGCTTCAATCTGACTTCATGTTCGAGATCAACTGCTGGTTTTCCTTCAAATTGTTCTAAATTTTTAAACCCAATTATTTTATTTATTTTTTGCCCCAAGAAAAGGTGATATATGCTATAAGTTTTAGTCTCCAACATGAATCTTTCCTTTTTAAGGAAAAAAGGTTTTAAACATGGTGACGGTTCTTTTATTATTGTAGAATATTTTAGTTTTCAGTTTGATTCATCATTCTCAGCTGTGCCGTTTTCCTGTCTCTCTGATTGGTTTTCAGTAATTGAACAGCTGTGCTAATCAAACATGGCTAGCTAACAGCCACATGTGGCAGAAAGACTGATGCCCGGCGCCCCCTTCTTGTTTTATTTCACCACAACCTTTTCCATTTCTACAGAAAGCTGAATTCATTTGACAGAATTTTAAGCTTTTCTGAACGTATCTCTGATTTTCAGCTGTGGAGTCGAATGAATCTGTTCTATTAAATATTTTTACATATTTTTTAAAGCCGTGTATCGGCTGTATGTTTTTCTTTCTCTACATTTAGAAATAGAATATCCACTTTTCTGCTTTTAAAGCTTGCGTTGAATTGCACAGGTCAGTTTAAGTCAGACTATTACTTCTCTGCTTTTCAATAAGTAGTGAATTTTGTCGTATCCATAAAGCTCCACTGCTGCGTTTGTTCTGTCGTGTCAGGGCTGTTTGGTCAAACATGGTGGGTGAGCCTGGTTGCCGTTCATCGCCTGGTCAGATCAGCTCTACCCAAAGGGGAAGATTGAAGATTCATCTCTAGGCAGACAGGATCCGATTATAGCAGCTAAACAGAACAAAATAATTACAGGAAATAAACCTCAGTAACAGAATTATAATGGGAAAAATATGTTTAAGGATAAAGGCAAAGTTTGTCAGAGGATTGCTGCAACTACTAAACTTTTTCTCTTAAAAAAAGAGGCTCTGTTACGTAACAGGAAACGACTCCAAACATCTGTCCCCAGCACCAGGGACTCTACCCACACAGGCCATTTCTGTCTTCCTGTTTACTAAACCCCGTCCCAGACGCTTAGCTCCAAGTTCACTGATGAATCCAAGCTGGCAGAGGTCATGTGACCTCCCTGAATACCAATGCTTGGAGAAATGCAGCAGAGGACACTAGAGCAGCTTTAAAACCTGCTTCTTTTATTTCTTTACGTTTTAAACTTCTCTCCCTTTTCTCCGCCAGTGCGAGGATGCCGTCCAGGAAAGATCGTCCAGATGACGGAGGCGGAGGTGCGAGGCCTCTGCATCAAGTCGCGGGAAATTTTCCTCAGTCAGCCGATCCTTCTTGAGCTGGAGGCTCCACTCAAAATCTGCGGTCAGCCCCCCCCCTTCCCACCTCTGACGGTTAGGACCGGTTTCCATAACTGTTCACAGCAGCATGCGTTTTCTTTTTATCTCAGGCGACATCCACGGACAGTACACAGACCTGCTGAGGCTCTTTGAGTACGGCGGCTTCCCCCCAGAGGCCAACTACCTGTTCCTGGGAGACTACGTGGACAGAGGGAAGCAGTCTCTGGAGACCATCTGCCTGCTGCTGGCGTACAAGATCAAATACCCCGAGAACTTCTTCCTGCTCAGGGGAAACCACGAGTGCGCTTCCATCAACCGCATCTACGGCTTCTACGATGAGTGTAAGCCGAGCCTTTTTGATTTTCTAAGCAGACTCCACCATTTCCCATTGTTTTGAACCCGATAGACTCAAATTACAATCATTTTGTTCTCAGACGATGCTTAAGCCTGCCACAAAGGCCCTCAACTTGGAACCATCTGGATAACGGAAAACCGTCATATTTTTAGGGTGTAGGTATAACTTCTAAAAGAGTTAGCGATACAGAGGTAGCAATAATAGCATTTAAAAGCTAATAATATTCTCTACTAGTCCATGATAAAATATATTCAGTTTGT